AAGTCATATATAAGTTAAACAGTTTAGTTAATATTAGCTCAGTAATGAGTAATGAGAAAACACTCGACTGCAACAATGATAATACACTTATACGGGGAAGCAGTTTTATAGTGTGGTGTATCAGCTGGAGACTAGAGAGGGTTTGATGGTCGGAGGTATTCCATGAAGTCAGGCAACTTCCCAAGGCTACCCACCCTCACCCCGAAACATCAGGTCACACCATCTAGATAACCAGACCAATTCTGGGATGGTTGACTCATCATTAGAGGGCTCTGGGTAATAGAGCTTCTAGCTGGCTGAGATGAAATGCAGGACAGATTCGTCTGTGTTGCGCGTCAAATATACGACGCGCAACACACGAGCTAAACAATCTGTACCTTCCAGGAAAGACCGCTTTTGCATTCGGCGCAGGACACATAGGCAAAAGCAATTTATACATCGTGACCATATCTATGATTCTCTCTTCCTCCATCTCTCTCCTCGATGTCTTCTCTTCCCCTTCTCTCCTCTCTCTCTCTCTCTCTCTCTCTCTCTCTCTCTCACCCCCACACACCTCAATCTTGATATCCATCAGGATTACATATGATCTCTGCAGAGCACAGATAAAGAGGTAAGCTGTATGCTCTGTTGATTTACGAGTTGCAACTAACTTCCTCTTATTTACTTTTTCTAATGTTGCAAGATGGGAAATATATTTGTACTTCAATGTGTTTTTTTTTATTTTTGCATATTTTGAACCCCCTTGAAGAACACTGCTTCAGAATGAAGGGAGAAAGAGAGAACAGTGTTGAACATGTTATAAAATCATTCCCTCCAAAATGTTAGACTTGAATATTATTACTGAGTACATAAAGACTATTACCAAGTACATAAAAATTATTACCGAGTACATAAAAACTATTTCCGAGTACATAAAAACTATTACCGAGGACATAAATACTATTACCGAATACTTTTCATTATAAAGTTCACGCTGGTACTGAAGCAAGTTTTCATTGAATGAAACAAGTATATAATTTTTTAGTTCATTTCCTTCATGAAGCAAATACTTAAAACTATTCTCATATGACTCAAGAAAAAGTGAAAACACACACACACACACACACACACACACACACACACACACACACCCCACAAACACATACACACAACACACAAACACACACACAAACACATACACACACAAACACACACACTTGAAATACTAGAAATGCCACACATGACAATTTTTGCACCAGATAAAGCAGCTATGATAATTTACAAAAGGAAGCTAAACGTTAATAAGGAAGAATTGCTAGCACCAACAGTAAGAAGAAACAGATGTTTTAACACCAAGATACAAAAAGTGTCGAGGTGACACCACAAGTATTCATCAACAGTAATAAATATTTTGAAGGCCATCAGAAAAAATCATACGTTCCATAATCAATGAGAATTTTTTTAAGCTTTTACTAAAAATTTATAAAACAAAACGTGAAACCACGAGAATAAACTATTTTCTTGTAACTACAATCGATTACACATAGATATATGCTTGGTTAACGAGGTTTAAAGCCTATCGAATACCAGAGGGTTATTGGAACTGTACGTATCCTCTTCACGTAAGCCGGGGCAGGCCTCTTCAGAGACCAAAACTTCATTTTGGGGGTTTAAAAATTTACACTAAGCCCGGGGTTATGAGACACTTGTCCTGTTTCCTAACAAACCTACCTAACCCAACCTAACCTATGTAACCTAACCTACGTAACCTAACCTAACTTACGTAACCTAACCTACCTAACCTACGTACCTAACAAACCTACCTAACCTAACCCAATCTAGCCTACCTAACCTCACATCAGACAAAATCCCTTTAATCAGTAAAACAGCATCAAACTTTTAATGTATTACACTGAAGACAAACACCTCATGTATATACACATACACCTCACAGTGATATACACAACAACACCTCACAGTTTTATATAGGTAATCACATAAAAAACACATTTCGTAAAAGTATAAAAATTTTTTTTGCTTTTTAGTTATACAATCGGCGATTAGTGCGGAGGACGTTTTACTGTGCGGGGAGGACGTGTACTGTGCTGGAGGACGTTTGCGTGCTGGGGGACGTGTTGCTGTGCTAGGACGTGTTGCTGCTGGAGGACGTGTTGTTTTGGGCTGGAGGACGGTTGCGTGCGGAGGACGTTTTGTGTGCGGGGACGTGCGCGGCTGGAGGACGTGCTGCTGTGCGGGAGGACGTGCTGCGTGCTGGGGGACTTTTTTGCTGGCTGGAGGACGTGTTGCTGTGTTAATAGTGAGGGAGGGCAGGCAGGTGATCAAGATTAGCGTGCGGGTGTGACCAACAATATGACAAATTTTGGGGCTGTAAATTGCTCTTAAAATCGAGTGTACTTTCTTGTTAAAGTTTGTGACCTGATAAAGCTAACCCACGTTTTTTGGGGTTAATGTAAAAATTGGCCCTTTTTCATGACTTTGTCTGAAAATTTTACGGGGATTTAAAAAATTTTTTTCTGAGGTTTGAACACGCAAACAACATCGGCGCCGTACTGGCAGCCACACCCGGTTGACGAACAGCCAACAGGGAAAGGGGATATCTTACTGAAGTATATGTAGGGACTTTAAAAATGGGAACTTCTCAAAATAAAGACGCAGTGTTCCACTGTCCCCTTTTTAAACTTCATATGTCAATTTTCTGTAATGAAAGAATCTTACGATACCAAAAATGATTCTCTTGATATACTGGTTAAGAGCTCCCGTTTATATCTGCTTTAAAAACCCACAGTAATGATGAATTTGTTTGCTGATGACAAATGTCTTGGCAGTTGGAATTCCCTCAGGATTCCTCCTACAGTGAAATAGTTTAGTGAACATTTGTGCTGAGCTTGAGAGAAAACTCTTCGCTCAGAGCTTCCGTTAATATTTTTGAATTAAACACAGCATTTACATTTAAATCTGGACTTTGATAGTGCATAAAATTGCCCAATTAAAAGTTTTCTTGATTACTCGAGCGATACATAATGGTGAGCGAGGGGATTGCTGTATTTTTTAAAGCATGTAAAATGTTTTTATCTAAAATTATATGATCAACTAGACTATTGAGGAGTTTGTCGTGACCACCCTTGTCACGCAACACGCTTACGTTACTCAGAGCGCTTGTAACGTCACTCACCTATAGTAACGTCACCAGGACACAGGTGAACCAACCAGAATTTGTGCTTCAGCGAGGTTTTGAATTATTTTTAAATTTATTAGTTTTAGCTTTATCGGTGAGGCTCATGTGTATTTATTTATGTATACACGAATGTATCTATAAATCAAAGTTGTACCGACCGTGTTCTAGAGCTGGAAACGTATTTCACAACAAAGTTTTGTGCCAACGAGTCAGGCTTCCACAAGCTCCTAGATTGATTGGCTAATGGGGATTAAAGCGTATTGACTAAACGAAGGTCATTAAGACTGTACCAGACAAGATAATTAGTCCCTAAAATCGGGATTAAATTCACACCATATATACAATGAAACACACCTCTCAGTGTAGAACCCTAGTGCATATTCAGATTACAGTGTAGACCCGTGTCCCGACACGCCTAAGTTTAATGCTAATACGGGTCCACTGCAACAGTGCAACGAAGCAGTTGCGAGTTTAAGCGCAAGAATAATCCATAAAATTATAACATCGAGACTATATACAAATTACCAGCAAAATATTTTCTAACAAATCTGTAATGATAATAAGAGGAAAAACTTACAACAGTAATAATCATGATTATCATAAAAAAGTAATATAGCTAAATAATTTTAATATAATAATAATGCCAATAACCACTACAAAATAATAAAAATTCGTTTTATTTTTTTTTTTTTTAATTTCAGGTCCTCTCCTTATTTAGCTGTATTAGACAGACATCAGCCTGCCCACAGGGTATATATACAGCGTGATTGTGTATGTCTCAGTGTATTTATACTGAGACTACCTTAATACCTAGTTTAGAAATGAAAGTATTCATGACTGGTGATGAGCAAGTGACGTGTAGCAGATACACTTTGAACCATTAACCAACATACCCACACACACTCGTGTCTTCCAAGAGTCTCATCAATGACACCAACCTCAGCACCCCTAAACACACACACACACACACACACACACACACACACACACACACACACACACACACACACACACACCCCCACACACACACACACTTGCGCTACTTTTCACTTCTCTGTTATTACAGAAGTCATTTTCAGATACTTAGATAACCTACTTTTACAATAGGAACCATGTGTGTTCTCACCTATTTGTACTCGCCTATGCAGGGGTCGAGTCTCAGCTCCTGGCCCTGGCTCTTCGCTCAACGCTACTAGGTCCACTTTCTCCCTTCTCCAAGAGCCTTATCGTACCTCTTCTCCAAGCTGTGTGGAGGGGGGATGTGTGTGTGTGTGTGTGTGTGTGTGTGTGTGTGTGTGTGTGTGTAAGGAGTAAACAAATGACTTTCGTTTCTCAAATTAAGTGTAAACAAAAGGTTGTTGTAAATACGTGAAGGCAAGAAGCGCACATAAGTGCGTATCTTTAGCGTAAGTGCGTAAACATGCAGATTCTCAAATGCACACATTTCTACTTACACAACGTATCTGTAATCATGTACGTACATCAATATTGCCATAGTCATCAGAATAATTTTATAATTATCATTGAAGGCTGTATCCTCCGCTCAGTAATCTGGAGGCAGACACATACTCTCACTCTCTCTCTCTCTCCCCCCCACTCTCTCTCTCTCCCCCCCACTCTCTCTCTCTCTCCCCCCCACTCTCTCTCTCTCTCCCCCCCACTCTCTCTCTCTCTCTCCCCCCCTCTCTCTACCTCTCTCCCCCTCTCTCTACCTCTCTCCCCCTCTCTCGACAGTAACCAGCTTAAATTCATCGTAATTTGTTTTTATAACAAATTATTTTGAACACTTGTGTTCACCTCATTTTGAATACTTGCGTACGCTTGATTGAAATTCAAAAAAGTGTTATTACATAGACTGTGTCGTTGCATAATAAAAATCACTTTGAACACATAGAAAATAGGTACAAAAATCAACTATAGTTCAATATTGTATCGTGAACCCCAATAATTTCCAGGAATACATTAGCTGATTGTCAAAAAGTAATGAAAGAGGGATTTTAATAACGTTCAGATTTTATTGATCCTTTAGAGACGACCGTAAAGTGAAAACTCACTCGGGTGGAAGTGATGAAATGAGGCAGGATATTTCCATAGAGTTTTTTGTGTATTATTTTTTTTATTGATGGGTGTACTTACCCATCTGTGTTTAGGAGGGTTATACATACTGGTCGCTCCACTTGCTGTGCTGCCCTGAGATGTGTCTATGCACACGCACGTACGCGCGCGCGCGCACACACACACACACACACACACACACACACACACACACACACACACACACACACACACACACACACACAGAAACAAGGGGTCAGAATTGGAAGTTGAAGACTCAGTTGAGTCAAAGAGATGTTAGGAAGTATTTCTTCAGTGGAAGTGGAACAGTCTGGCAAGTGACGTATTGGACTTAGGAACCCTACATAGTTTTAAGACGAGGTATGATAAAGCTCATGGAGCAGGGAGAGAGAGGACCTAGTAGCCATCATTGAAGAGGAGGGGCCAGGAGCCATGTCTCAACCCCTGCAACCAGAAATAAGAAAGCACAATTAGGTGGGTACACACACACACACACACACACACACACAAAGCGAATTAACTTAAAATTCTCCCCAATATAAGTAAAATATTAATTATTAAACGCCCTCTAGATGACTATTCCAGAGGCCCGCTTATAGTGCTCACAACACTGGCGTTTATATAAACTCATAGAAATGTACACATATACATATATACACAGAAACAAATGTATATACATGCTCATACGTTTTTAAAATCCATTAGTGTCTCTTATAACTCTGAATGACAGAATGTGGTTAAATAATGTAGCAAATTTATTATACGATGTAACGCCATATGATTTTTTTTTATAAATTCAGAACAATAGCGAATAGTCACGAGGGTTAAGATAATAGTTGAAAAATAATGGTAACGAGGTTGAGGTAAAGGTTTAAAAATAATGGTAACGAGGTTTGAATACAAGTTAAATTCACATCTCAAACTCACAAATTACAGTTGAAACTAGAGGAGGTTTCAGTCCTTTCTGGACCATCAAGTCGGTCACAGCTCACAGTCTAAGAAGGACCGATACCTCTTCTAATCTCAGTATCACTAGACGATCAAAGGCTCAGAGGAGACACGATCACAATATACAAGATACTGAGAGAGACAGGAATGGTTGACAGGTGGAGCAGAAGCGCTGCCAGGATTTTCAATTTCGGGGAGGGGGAGGGGGAGGGGGAGGGGGGTGGAGGTGCTTAAAATTCATAAGACGCTGAAAAAAAAGTCGAATAAATTGTTTGTTTAAGGATGTGACTTTTAGAACGTAAGTTAAGTTGCTGTCTTGGGCGCTGCTCTATGTTATAATAGTGAAAATTAGCCATTAATTTATACAAATATAAAAAGTATATAAATCATGTGGGCGGTACCCCTTTTAAAGTCCCCTCCCACCCACCACCCTGTGTGTGTGTGTGTGGTGTGTGTGTGTGTGTGTGTGTGTGTGTGTGTGTGTGTGTCTGTGTGTGTGTGTGTGTGTGTGTGTGTGTGTGTGTGTGTGTGTGTGTGTGTGTCTGTGTGTGTGTGTGTGTGTGTGTGTGTGTGTGTGTGTGTGTCTGTGTGTGTTGTGTGTGTCTGTGTGTGTGTTGTGTGTGTGTGTGTGTCTGTGTGTGTGTGTGTGTGTGTGTGTGTGTGTGTGTGTGTGTGTGTGTGTCTGTGTGTTGTGTGTGTGTGTGTGTGTGTGTGTGTGTGTGTGTAACAAGGGAGGGAACAGAACGAGGGGAAACAAGTGAAAACTAAAAGTTCAAATGAGCCAGAGGGACGTAAGAAAGAATTCTTTCAGTGAGAGGGAGGGGAATGCTAGAGGGAAATGGGGGGGATCAGGGGAAGGATTTAAAGGTGTGAGGGGGGAATGGGGGAGTAAGGGAATATTAGAGAGGAGCAAGGAGAATGGGGAAGTGAAAGAATGCTACAGTGAGGGAATGCTAGAGGGGAATAAGGGAAATTGAGAGGAATGCTTGAGGAAGATAGCTAAGAGAACCTGATAACCTTCTCAACTTGGTTCCTGATCAACCTGGCTGAGATGCATACCTTAGACTGCGTAATGGCGACATTAGCAACCTGGTTGATCAGATCATTAGGCAAGAAGCTTGGTTTGGGACAAGATTGCGACCACACACACACACACACACACACACACACAATCAACCAGATAACTGCTGCAGCATATGGGCGCCTGGCAAACCTAAGAATAGTGTTCCGATACCTTAGTAAGGAATCAGTCAAGACACTGTACACCGTGTACATCAGGCCCATACTGGAGTACGCAGCACCAGTTTGGAACCCACACCTGGTCAAGCACGCCAAGAAATTAGAGAAAGTGCAAAGGTTTGCAACGAAGTTAGTTCCGGAGCTCAGGGGAATGTCCTACGAAGAAAGGTTGAGGGAAATCTGCCTGACGACACTGGAGGAAAGAAGGGTTAGGGAAGACATAATAACGACATACAAAATACTGCGTGGAATAGATAATTTGGATAAAGACAGGATGTTCCAGAGAGGGGACACAGAAACAAGGGGTCACAATTGGAAGCTGAAGACTCAGACGAGTCAAAGGGATGTTAGGAAGTATTTCTTCAGTCATAGAGTTGTTAGGAAGTGGAATAGCCTAGCAAGTGAGGTAGTGGAGGCAGGAACCATACATAGCTTTAAGATGAGGTATGATAATGCTCATGGACCAGAGAGAGGACCTAGTAACGGTTAGTGAAGACGCGGGGCCAAGAGCCGAGTCTCGACCCCTGCAACCATAAATAGGCGAGTACAAATAGGCGAGTGTACACACACACAAAATGGCCCATAAAAGTACCAACCACAACATTTATTAAAGTCTTTAAAACACACACTGATGAAAACCTCGTCTATACTTCGATATTTTTATAGTCTGATTCATAGCGTGTGTGTGTGTGTGTGTGTGTGTGTGTGTGTGTGTGTGTGTGTGTGTGTGTGTGTGTGTGTGTGTGTGTGTGTGTGTGTGCGCGCGCGCGCGCGTGCGTCCCCCCAACATATACATCACCCACACAACTTTCACTACTCCTCACTCCCCCACACACACCTCTCCTCTCCCAACTTTTATCATTCCCTTTATAGCTCAGGGACAGTATCATGCACTGCACACTTCTCTACATCTGAAGCAACTCTCTGCCTTCACTTACGCCACATTTCTGCCACGTGTGGCGAGTGGCGAAACTCTCCCTCACTTCCGCACACTCTCTCACCACATCTCTTCACTCAACTTCTTCCAGTCACTCCCACACTCTCCCTCACTCCCACACTTCCCATCACTTCATCATTCGCACTTTGAGTTAGCACTATGGCGACATAGAACACTCATTAACACGGGCACACTCATCTCTAGTAGCCACACTCGTCACTCACATTCCTTACGCCACACTCTACCTGCCCAGTGCTTGTAGCCAAGGTAAGATTGACTTTTCCTAAGTCACTGCCATTCTGTCAACCACACGGCTACAAGCATTCTGTACACTCAAACTTAGGCTACACTGCCAAGTGTGTTGTAACCAACTTACACTCCATAGGCATGGTCCGAGCTATTTGCATGTGTTTAACCAGGTCTACACTGCACTAGGTGTGCATTTTGAACACACATAACGACTGGGCTACACTGCCATGTGCTGTGTTAGCCACACCGGGCTACACTGCCATGTGCTGTGTTAACCACACTGGGCTACACTGCCAGTGTGCTGTGTTAACCACACCGGGCTACACTGCCAGTGTGCTGTGTTAACCACACCGGGCTACACTGCCAGTGTGCTGTGTTAACCACACCGGGCTACACTGCCAGTGTGCTGTGTTAACCACACCGGGCTACACTGCCAGTGTGCTGTGTTAACCACACCGGGCTACACTGCCAGTGTGCTGTGTTAACCACACCGGGCTACACTGCCAGTGTGCTGTGTTAACCACACCGGGCTACACTGCCAGTGTGCTGTGTTAACCACACCGGGCTACACTGCCAGTGTGCTGTGTTAACCACACCGGGCTACACTGCCAGTGTGCTGTGTTAACCACACCGGGCTACACTGCCAGTGTGCTGTGTTAACCCCACCGGGCTACACTGCCAGTGTGCTGTGTCAACCACACTGGGCTACGCTGCCAGTGTGCTGTGTCAACCAAACAGGGCTACACTGCCAGTGTGCTGTGTTAACCACACCGGGCTACACTGCCAGTGTGCTGTGTTAACCACACCGGGCTACACTGCCAGTGTGCTGTGTTAACCACACGGGCTACACTGCCAGTGTGCTGTGTTAACCACACCGGGCTACACTGCCAGTGTGCTGTGTTAACCACACGGGCTACACTGCCAGTGTGCTGTGTTAACCACACCGGGCTGCACTGCCAGTGTGCTGTGTTAACCACACCGGGCTACACTGCCAGTGTGCTGTGTTAACCCCACCGGGCTACACTGCCAGTGTGCTGTGTCAACCACACTGGGCTACACTGCCAGTGTGCTGTGTCAACCACACAGGGCTACACTGCCAGTGTGCTGTGTTAACCACACCGGGGTACACTGCCAGTGTGCTGTGTTAACCACACGGGCTACACTGCCAGTGTGCTGTGTTAACCACACTGGGCTACACTGCCAGTGTGCTGTGTTAACCACACTGGGCTACACTGCCAGTGTGCTGTGTTAACCACACTGGGCTACACTGCCAGTGTGCTGTGTTAACCACACGGGTACACTGCCGTGTGCTGTGTAACACACTGGGCTACACTGCAGTGTGCTGTGTTAACCACACTGGGCTACACTGCCAGTGTGCTGTGTTAACCACACCGGGCTACACTGCAGTGTGCTGTGTTAACCACACTGGGCTACACTGCCAGTGTGCTGTGTTAACCACACGGGCTACACTGCCAGTGTGCTGTGTTAACCACACTGGGCTACACTGCCAGTGTGCTGTGTTAACCACACTGGGCTACACTGCCAGTGTGCTGTGTTAACCACACTGGGCTACACTGCCAGTGTGCTGTGTTACCCACACTGGGCTACACTGCCAGTGTGCTGTGTTAACCACACTGGGCTACACTGCCAGTGTGCTGTGTTAACCACACTGGGCTACACTGCCAGTGTGCTGTGTTAACCACACCGGGGTACACTGCCAGTGTGCTGTGTTAACCACACCGGGCTACACTGTCAGTGTGCTGTGTTAACCACACTGGGCTACACTGGCAGTGTGCTGTGTTAACCACACCGGGCTACACTGTCAGTGTGCTGTGTTAACCACACTGGGCTACACTGCCAGTGTGCTGTGTTAACCACACCGGGCTACACTGTCAGTGTGCTGTGTTAACCACACTGGGCTACACTGCCAGTGTGCTGTGTTAACCACACTGGGCTACACTGCCAGTGTGCTGTGTTAACCACACTGGGCTACACTGCCAGTGTGCTGTGTTAACCACACTGGGCTACACTGCCAGTGTGCTGTGTTAACCACACCGGGGTACACTGCCAG